TTCTTCGGCTATTTGCAGCTGTGATAGAGCCTCCTCCGCCACCAGTCGTGCCTTTAGAGCCTGCTTGAAGTTCCTGCAAGTTCGTTCAAGCTCCTGGTCTAATGGTAGTAGATCTCTCGACTGGCTACGGGTCATGCACGACCTGCACACAATCAGCAGAAGCAACCCGTGAAGGCACACAGGTGGAAGAGATAAAATGCAATAAAGAAAAAGCTAGAGTAACAAATTTTCACGTTTCTCCAATAACCTAGAGGTTCCCCGGCAACGGCGCCAAAAACTTGACACGCCAAAACACAACACCAAACTGCGACCAAGTGTAATCGCAGTCCGGGAATGTAGTAAAGTGGAAAGTTCTAAATATCAACCCGGGGTCTAGATCTACTGCCTAGTCCGTGATTATCTATTATCTAGCAAACTATGTCGATTGATTATGGTCTTAACTAAAAGCAGAAAGAAAACAGGAATTGGTTCGGTTTTCTCAAGCAAAGGAAGAGTCACTCGGGAATGAGTCCCCCTAGCTCCTTAGTTAGGTCTCAGTTGTAATTACCCTGGGTTGATTTACTGTTGATTAGACTGCGGAAGACCCGATAGTAGCTTGGAATCTCTTAAGCTGACCAAGCCCTCTCAGTCTAACTACCCGGCAGACGACTAGTCTTCACCGGGATAGAAAGCTGAAGCAGTAAGCACAGAACTCCACTACTGGAATTGGATTCCAGTACAAAGCAGTAAACGGACTAACTCTCGTATAGCCAATCTACTACTACCGAATAAAGAAGCTCTTACAACCTAATCAGATTCTATCTATCTCAGGTTGCAGCAGAAATCAAGAAAAGCTGATCAGACTTCAATCAATTCAATGAAACATGCATCATTCGATTAAAATCAAACAGTATAATCATCCCAAGTCATTACAATCAAATCCCTAACACATGGAACTAGGGTTCTTCATACCCAAGTGAGAGAAGGGTTCTACTCCATAGAGAGAGAGAGAAAAACAGAATACAAAGCAGTCATACTCATATCAATGGGAAGAATCTGCTCTGAGATGATGATTTCCACTCCTATGATGATCTCCAAGCTCGATTTGATGAAACCCAGCTCCAAGATCGCTTCTAGGATGTGTTCTTTGCACTTTCTCTCTCTAGGGCTCTGTTTTTGCTCTGAAAAGTCGATTCCCTCACTTGTGGCTCGAATTTGGGTGAAAACCAGAATTCCCGACTCACACGGGCAGGCCACACGGCCGTGTGACTTACCCAGATGCCCGTGTGAGAGTCAAAACGCCGAGTTTCGATTAAGTGGATTTCAGGCTTCCTACACGGCCAGGGACACACGGCCGTGTGGAGCCTCCAGTCTGCCCGTGTGAAGTCTCGCACAATCCCACACGGCCACATTGGTTCCTTACACAGCCGTGTGGGTTTTATGTGTGCCCGTGTGGCTTCCTCAGCGACTCGCCACACGTCCGATCTTCATCCAATCGACCCCGAACTCGCTCCCAAACCTTCATTCACGTACTAGGACCTGAAATATCACAAACAAGCACAACCTAGCGTGAAATCGGCCTAAAACACGAGAATCAACATCTCAAACGGCTCAAGAATAGGGGTAAAAACATGTGCAATTAACGATTTATCATAGTCATCACACCTAGGACCCGGGTTGACATTTAGAACTGAACCCGCTATATGACGCATTAGTAGGTGGTTACACTTGGCCCCTTTCTAGTGTGACGGTAGAGGCGTGTCACATCACCAGCTCTCAAAACAGATGGAAGCCCCCTGTGAATACATTCCTGAATGCAGTCCGGAAGTGCTAAAGTTTCTAGCACATGAGGATCATTAATCCCATGGTACATCGTAGCAGCGATGCAACCTAACAAATGAAGACCATCCCCAAGAACATAAGCAGCTGAACCAGAATCGTGAACCCCAGTTGCCCCATCAAAGGAAGCAAAAAACTGGTGCTACTATGCTGCGTGTAGTGGTCTTGTGGAGAAAGAACGACATATCCATGAGAACCAATAGCAGATGAAACCAACAGGGTTTCATCAATCTCACAAACTTGGTGCTGCCATTCCGCAACACGCATCTCAATATGAACTTTCTGATGATAAAAAACTGCAACACATCTATTCTTCCAAATTTGCCAGAAAATGGTGACTACCTGCAAAACAAAATAAGGGCTAATGTGCTCCTTGTCCCTCGCAAATAGTTCCGCCCTAACCATGCCTGCAAATGATCTATTATCCAAAGAACCCAAATGCACACCAAAACCCACCAATCTCCACTACCGACATGCAAAGGGACAAGTGAAAAATAAATGCTCCAAGGATTCAACTCTTATGCCACAAACCAGACAAATTTGTAGAATATCAAGCCTTCTATCAACAAGAGCCTCCCTCGTCGAAAGGATCCGATTCAAACACTTCAATAAGAAGAAAATTAACTTGAGTGGCATTTTTAAATTCCATAACCACATCCACATGGCATGATCAACTTGATGAACCCTCGCTCGACCTGCCAAACAACGATTAGTACGATCGACAAGATTATAAGTAGATTTTACCTAAAAGATCCCCATAAAATCATAATGCCATACTAATTTGTCATGAACAATCATTTTTGGCAGGGAATATAGGTGATGAGCTTAATAATGTCAGGAGAGATGAACAAACCCAATGTCGCTATATTCCGAGTACGTGAGCTCGGATCAATGAATGCCGAAACAAAAGGTGAAGAAGAGGGAACACCTACCCGACGAGTAGGGACCGAAGGAGGAGAAGTTGGTAACCAAGCGTCCTCAAAAGCTCGAATTGAAATTCCATAACCAATTTGCCAACGTAAGCCTTGAGAGAGAAGAGCCCGACCATGCAAGATGCTACGCCAACCCCAGGACGAGTTGAACCTAGAATGAGCATCAAGGAAACTCGGAGAAGAAGCAAACTATTTACCTTTGAGGACCCTTGCCAGCAACGATGACGGTTCAATGAGGATACGCCATGCCACCTTGGAAAGCAACACTTGATTAAAGCATCCAAAATCTCGAAATCCCAAACCTCCTTCGTGCTTACTGCTACACAGAGTTATGCAAACAATACAATGTATACGCCTCTGTCCTGGCGTAGCTCCCCACCAAAAATATGCCATGTGGGCGTTCAGACGACGGATCAAATTCTTTGGAATCCAGAAACACGACATATCATATATTGGTAAAGCTGTAGCCACCAATTTCAAAAGAACCTCCCGTGCAGCAATCGAAAGAGAGCAGATTTTCCAACCCTGCAACACCGTCATCAATTTCTCCTCGACCAATCGAAATGTTTCCTTCTAGATTTATGAATCAAAGAAGGCAGGCTCAGGTTCTAATCAAGCAAACCAATAGACCCCACTCCAAAAAGCGATCCCAACAGAGCTTGCGAATAAGATTCCATATTGGGACTGAAGAAAGCCGCATACTTGACTAAATTAAGTCGTTGCCCACTTAAACTTTCATAGTCATGAAGTAATCTCATAAGATTTTTCCCATCCTGCCGTGAAGCACGTAGGAACAAAAAAGAATCATCCGCAAAGAGAAGGTGAGACCGGTGGACAAGGAGCAACCTGGACTCCTTGGAGTTCACGCCTTGCAACCATTTCTTTGATCATAGTGGTAAAACCTTCCAAACACATAGCAAAAAACAAAGGAGGGAGCGGGTCAACTTGTCGTAATCCACGAGTGGAGGGGAAGTACCCGGAAGGTTTACCATTGACCCAATGAATCCAATCAGCCGCAAAACCCATCTTCCGCAGGACAGAAGAAGGAAACGACCACTTAGCGCGATCGTACGCCTTCTCCATGTCAAGTTTAATGGCCATAAACTTTGATTTCCCATGTCTCTTGTTTTTTATGTAGTGCATGAGCTCATGAGCAAGGAGAATGTCAGGGAAATAACGGATTAAAGGCGTGATTTTGATCACTCTCCTTAGAGTGTTTATTTGCCCCCACTACTTAGTTGCTGGTAGGATTTAGGCAAACCACCTCCAGGAGTCCCTCCAATCAAAGTCAGAAAGCAGCACCTATCGTGACTTCTGTGTTAGTGTTTTTGGAGAAGGAAAAGAAGAGGAGAAGAAGATGAACGTTGGACCACAAGTTCGGCTGCAGAAGACTTTTATCGTGAAAACGGTAGTTCCCTTTCGAAGGGTTACGTCGTTTCACAAAAGTCAAAATCAAATAATTATCCGGATTAATTAATTAAAATAATTCCGGTAATTAATTAGCCAAAAATTCAAATCCAAAAGCGTCGCGCAAACGTGCAAAGTGCGTAGTGCGATTTAATATGTCAAATTAAATAGCCCACACTTTTTCCAAAAGCCCACTAACCACTTTATATAATAACTAAAGTGGAAAGCAAACTTAAAAACAACTTGCACTTTCCTTCTCCCACCAATGTGGTAGTTCCTTTACTTTTTGACTACTCTAACAGAGAACATTGTCAACAATTTGTCTTTCTTGAACAAAACCATTTTGTTCGGGAGAGACAAAATGTGGCAAAATCTTTCCCAACCGAACAACCATGATCTTGGTTATTACCTTATAGAGAAATTGACACGAGCTAAAAGGTCATAATTGAGAAATTGTTCAACCATATCACTTATGGAACGAGGATTAACCAAGTATGGTTAAAGTTCCTTAGAAGCTTGCCAGTTGGTAAAAAAAGTAGTAATAACGTTGATCACATTATCACCCGCAATAGTTCCTTAGAACATGGAGATTTAAGAGCCCCACATGGAAAATTGTATATTTTATTTCACCGGAGTCACCGGAGCCATGAGAGCCTCTTTCTGAGTCTGCGAGTCTTCTTTCTAGTATCGGATTTGAAGATGTCCATATATCCATGGGCCTTGCAGAGCCCATTGCGTCTTGATTACTATCCACGGCGCCTGAATCAAAATCTACACACCCGTTGGCGCCTTTAACCAATTTTATAACCGCTATAGAATAAAATAAAATTAAAAAACTGTCAACTACAATAATAGTCTTGTGGCTCTGGTGATAAACCAATCCATCCCAAAAGGAGCTGGCGGAGCAGTTTGTTTCCGGCAGCACCAGCCCCAACGAACCCGAAAGCAGTCCAGATTGTAACAACACATTTTCTTTCCGGCAGTTTGTTCATCATGGCCGGCACGATTACCCATCACCTCAATTTCACTTCATCTTCCTTCCTCTCCTCTGGGCCATTATCCTTTCTTCCCACCAACCAACTCTCCCGTGCCAAAACCCGATACCCATTCCCCGCCGGCGGGAAACGCCTCGCCGTTTCAGCTAATTCAGCTCTCAAAGCTCTAATCTTCGATTGCGACGGAGTGATCCTCGAATCCGAGGACCTTCACCGCCAAGCCTACAATGACGCTTTTGCTTACTTCAATGTCCGGTGCTCCCCGGACTCTCCTCAGCCTCTCAATTGGGACGTCGGTTTCTATGATGTCCTCCAGAACCGCATCGGGGGCGGCAAACCCAAAATGAGATGGTAATCCATGGTTTGTTACCCTTTCTCTTGTTCAATTCCTTTTTCCCAATTTCTCGCCTTTGGGGTCTATTATTTGTTTTGGGTTTGGTTAGGTACTTTAAGGAGCATGGATGGCCGTCATCAACAGTCCTTCCTACTCCTCCTGACGATGACGACAGCCGAGCCAAGTTGATTGACACTATTCAGGTGATTAATGTCTCCACTGCTGCGTTTAAACTTTAAAATGGGTTGTTTATCAGGGAATCGAAGATGGAAATTTCTCTGAATTGCATTGCCCGTGCTTGAGGTTTGTGATTTGTAGGACTGGAAAACTGAAAGGTACAAGGAAATAATCAAGTCTGGAACTGTAAGGACCGCCCGTCGAAACGTTCCTTTTACCTTTACTATGGTTTTGTTTTGGTTTTACCCAGTTGTATTTACTATAGGCTGGTGTGTCTGTCTGATCAGGTGGAACCCAGGCCAGGAGTTTTGCGGTTGATGGATGAGGCCAAGGCTTCTGTAAGATTAAGTTGACTGTTTTAATAGTGTTAGTCATGGCGCATTGTTGTGTGTTCACCCTCTAGAACCATACACCTGTACCGTTTTCAATATTTTGGTTGATTGGTTCGTCACATCTCTTACTTCAGTAGCTAAAAAATGATGCGCTCATGCTGATTCATTTAGAATTGGTGCTTGTAGGGGAAACTGCTAGCTGTTTGCTCAGCGGCAACTAAAAGTTCAGTTATCATGTGTCTTGAGAACCTCATAGGCATGGTAGGTCAAAAGTTACAAGCTCCATCCAATTCATACGGCTTCAGGTGCTGATTCTTTGTTTTCTGTAAAAATAACACAGGAGCGGTTTCAAGGTCTTGACTGCTTTCTTGCAGGTAAATTGATTGGTATTACTTGTCAGTTCTTGTTAAAGATTTTAGCAATGTCTTTCATAAGTGCGTTCTCTCATTTTGGTGCTAAGTGCTCTTTATTTGCTTTCCATTGTTAAGGTGATGATGTGAAGGAAAAGAAGCCTGATCCATCCATCTATTTGACAGCCCTCAAGGTAGTTCAGCTGTTCTTGCCTTTTACATGTTGATTCAGTGTCTTCTACTTCTACTCGGACTTGCTAATCTTGATTGGGGATCGAACTTTGATGCAGAGGCTAGGTGTGTCCGAGAAAGACTGTTTGGTGGTGGAGGATAGTGTCATCGGTTTGCAGGTTTACTCCATTTCTTTTGTGCTGTTTCTTATTGTCAACTTAATCTAGTAACTAATCTACAAGAAAATTATTTTCAAACTGGCAGCAGAGATATGCTTTAAGGTGTATGCATATACAAACAGAAATACCGAAACATAATGGCAAAGATCAGATATTAACCAAAACTGGAGTTCTTGCAGGCTGCAAAAGGTGCTGGAATGTCCTGTATAATTACATACACAAGTTCCACTGCAAAACAGGTTGCTCCTCTTCATATATCTGAATGTCCTTTAAATTTAGAAGTACGATGGAAGAAACTGTGATATATCATAAGCTTAATCTCCAGAAGAGAGACTAATGATGATTTTTCGGTGCTAACTTTCACAGGATTTTAAAGATGCCATAGCATTGTACCCTGATTTAAGCAATGTGAGGTATGTTGATTCATGGTTGATTGCACTCCGGGTTCTGTCGTGTTATACTTACCCTCCTCTTTACTCGATAGTTTACACAAGATAGGGATTTTCCCCTTTCCCAATTTGCAGGTTACAAGATCTAGAGTTGTTGCTTCAGAATACTGTTGCTGCTGGCTAAGTAAATAATCATATTCACCCAATTGAATAGAAATGATGAAATTATTGAGCTTCTATGCATGTAGCTCCGCTCAGCTATGGTCACAATCGTAATGGTTCGACACGATGCTTGATTATAATTTTTATAGGAGCGATGCTTCTCTTCGAAACTGAAGGCAGCAACAGTGTACGCACCCACCAGTTCTGCATTTCTTTTCGTCATTGATTGATAGCATTCTTAGCGATGCTATTACATGGCATGAATGCAAACATGATTTTTATCAAGGAATGAAAGCACATGATATATGTGAGATATGACTATTGTTTCTATCTCAGCCATGCCTATAGTCCTATAAATGTGGTGTTAGCTATTTGAATCTTTCGCACCCGAAAGTTAACCATGTATACTTCTCAATCTTGCTCATTGAAGGGGAGACACGAAATAAGCTCCTGTCAGTAGCCCACTAAGGAAGATACCTAATATTGCAGAGACCAAAGATTTATAATGCTTCGTGTCTTGTCTTTCTTGCCTGACATTTCAAAGGAAACACGCACCAAAAGTCAGCAATTGTTGCTCTGGACATCGGCTCGCGTGCTCTGATGTTGGCCGCTCGATCCAAAAGCGTTAGAGAAGTCCAGCTGACTGAAGTGGTCAGCTAAACTAGAATCTGAATCTTCTCTTCTGTTAGTCTTTGTATTTTTTCGCCCCTCTGCTTATGGAGCGGCCATTACATTTACAGAGACGTCTTCCTGTATAAACAGAACAGCGCCATATTGAGCAGCGAGATATGGGGTGCTCAACTACAGAAACTCAGCAGCAGAGGCCACAAGCAGTTCTGCTGCCATTTTCAGCACAATGCCATGTTAACCCATTCATGCAACTGACCACGCTCTTGTATTCCAAAAGCTTCCACATAACGTTTGTCAACATCAAACATAACCACAGGCGGCTGTTTTGAGTCAGAGGGCCTGACGCTGTGAAGGGTCTTTCCAATTTCCAGTTCCAGGCGATTCCTGATGAGTTGGCACCGTCGGATAAGCATGCCACTCAAGACCCTTCTGCTCTCTGTTATGCCACGCAGAACTATAGTTTGCAGCCATTTATGGAGCAATGGAAAAGTTGCAAGAGAAGTACTCCGGAACTTCCCCCAGTTACTTAGATAGTTTCGGATGGAATCATGACGTTTGGGATCCAAGCTGCAGAAATGCTGGGGGTCCAGCACGCTTCCTTGTGGACTGTCCTCAACTTGCGGCCTCGTAGGGTATATGCAATACGATGAACTCACAGCACGAGACATCTTTCCTCTCAAAGGTCGTAACATTCAACTTCTTGATCATCACAATTTATTATATCTAGTAGAAGATAGTTTATCTCTTTAACTCTTTCCATGCCATTTCAGAGGCCAACTTGAGGGGTAAAACACTTGACAATCCATTGGAATGGATTCTAGGAGTGAGCAACATTCTTCTTAAGGATGTACCAAGCTTTGCAACAGTAACGGATGCTGAAGCAAAGAAGTGCTTGAAATACAGTGCAATCATCTTCAATACCTTTGATGCATTCGAAGAACAAGCACTAACAACTATCAGTAATGGAGTACTTCACCTTCCCTCGTCAAATCTACACTATTTATTGGTCCACTCCATTTGCTTGGATACGAAATGCCTTCTATTCTCCATCAGTTCAAATCTATGGAGAGAAGAACAAAAATGCATGGAGTGGCTCGACCAAAGAGAACCGCCGTCAGTTGTTTAAATCAAATATGGAACCGTGACTGTTATATCTGATGATCGCCGGAAGGAATTCGCATGGGGACTTGCAGAAAGCAAGCACCCATCGAAAGAACTCTCCACCTAGCAAACATTGCAACTAGGGTTTGTAGGAAGAAGAAGATCATATGGGAATTGGCCAATTTTTTCCTTTCTGTCTCCCGGACATCATGTACACATATGTCCCTGCAATTTACAGAGTTACTGCATAAGCCAACGGTAAAGTAAACTAACAAAATGAATTATCCAATCCAAACACGCCAAGTGGCAAAGCAACCTAATCTAAGCTGCTCTTCAACATGAAGCTCACTTCTGACTTATCTCTTGGAAGTGGCAGAGCAACTATTCACTGATTCCTTTAACACGCCCCATCAAGCTGGCAGGCACACACTTGTTGTGCATTGCCAGCTTGCTCAATAAGTAATTGAAACGATCAACATACAGGCTGTTCGTGAACAAGTCTGCTAATTGCTCCTCTGAGCTGATATGAGAAAGATTCAACAATCTGATTCCAATCTCTCACGACCGACATGAAAATTCACTTCAATAAGCTTGGTTGGTTCATAAAATATGAGATATATTTGCTATAGGTAGGATCACGGTTGTCAAACCGGTTTATGCCAGTGTGCCGGTTTAGCAAGTGGAATGGTTCGACCAGTGGCACATACGGGTTTGTGCCGGTTCATGTCGGTCAATATTACAAATAAAATTATAAATACTCATATTTAAACATGACATTTATCATCATTACCTAAACATTTATACTTGAATTCAACAAATAACATCAATATTTAACTTTTATACTTATAAAATAAATAATATAATAATTTTTATCAATTAAATTCACTCAAATAAGGTCATTTTACTTAGAGATTTGTATATCAATCATGCCGGTCATACCGGTGGTGTCACGCCGGTTTTATGACCGGTATCGGTTGAACCAGGTACAACCGGTGGCACACCGGCCGGCATGACAACCATGGGTAGGATTATTTGGCAAGCTCTGCTGAGTTCAATATGGAGAGAGAAGAGGTGGCAATTAAGATCCATATTTATAAATCCAATTCAATCCATCTACCAAATTATCCACCTAATTCAATCCATTCCAAATCCAATTGGATTGGTGGATTCATGGATTGATCTATGAGTTCAAATGACAAATTATGGTTTGGTACCTATACTTTTTATATTTTATATTTTGGTACCAAATTTTATTTTTTATACGAAAATATCATTAGAAAATTACGTTTTGATAACTAAAATTTTTCATTATGACATTTTAGTACCTAAACTTTTCAAAATTTACATTTTGGTCCAAGACTTGGAGGGCATTTGGATTTACGGATCAATCCACCAATCCACTTGATCCAATCCATGAATCGACCAATCCATTGGATCCAATCCATGGATCCACCAATCCAATCCATTTGCCACCTCTAGGAGAGAGAGGTGTCTGATTAAATTTGGAGGAACAAGGCGGAGGTTTGAAGAGATGTTTGCCTAGATAATAACGAAATGAAAATTCAAATACAATGTACGCAATCTAGTTGGTTATAATGCTCTTTTTTTTCATTTCAATAACCATGGTTCAAATCCCAATAAATTCCTTTTTAAAATTAACGATCAATATTCCTGAAAGGATAGTTTGGAAAACGGAAAAAAATACCACATGTGTTTATCATTCTATAAAATCTAACGTCACACCCTTCTCCCACCCTCTTTCTCCTCAGTGAAGTAGCGCCTATCCTCGTCGTCCCTCCCCCGCCCCCGCCCTCCTCCCCACGACTCAAGATACGGTGCATAATGGTTATGCACCCATGAGTAACTAAATCTGGACCTTTTATTCAGAAAATCCAGATCTAAGAGTGAAGAATTAAATGCATTTTTATTTTTTCTTGTTTTCTTAATCAAATCTTATATTCTTCGTTTAAACTCGGATTTCAATTTTTTTTTTGCAAAATTAATCTGTTCTAACTGTGCAAAAATATTTAAATTTTGACTTAAAACGAGTGAGAAATCGACCGTTAAATATTAAGGGGTAAAAACTTAAAGACTTTCTAGGAGAGAGAAGAGGCACTGATGTAGCAGATTCTGATTGGGTTATGCATAGTTATGACCACAAGGTTATGCACCTAATCCGCTCTCCCTCCCCACCCACCCACCGCCCGTCCTTCTCCCCTCCCCCTCTCTCTGTCTCACTACCCGGCGAGGACCTATCACCAACGATATGTCGCTTGTGCGGCGCCGGGGAGGAGTCGGCAACCCTTGACTGGATTCTAGATTTGATTTTTTCATTATAGTATACATGTTTTCATATTGGTATTGATTTTTTCGTAGTTGTATTTTTTTCGTAATTGTTTTCATAAGTGGTATATGTTGCGATAGTGGTAGTGTTTTGTGCAGACTGCAATGGTAGTGTTTTTATGTTTTGGTATTGATTTCTTGGTTTATTTCTAGAATGATATTAGTGTTTTTATGAATTGATAGTGTTCATTTAATGGATTGATATTGATTTCTTGTTTTATTTTTATAGTAGTATTAGTTCGGCTGAACAGAGACAAAGAAAAGATTGAGAAAAAAATAGAGATGATCTGGCTGGAGATTACAAAGTGAGAGAAGGAGAGAAGAAATTTAAATTAATATATATTTTTAACTTTCTAAAATATGATTTATTAAAAGGGTAAGAACAATTTTTTCCTTAATAGCTATGGTAATTAAGCTGAGGACTTGTGGACTAAATCTTCTTGAGCTCTTGGCTATAGAAGCATAATTCAATTTTTGTTTGTTCTTCCATATTAGTTTTACGACAAATATCCAAATCGGCACATTTTGGACACATTCTTCAACCAATCAAATCATTTTCCAAAATGAATAATTTATCCCAAATTCCCTCCTTTTGGAAATCCTCCGCAACCCCCCATTTGTAATAAAAGGCATTTGATAAATAACCTATCTTTGGATTACTAAGAGATTTGCCTACTACTTAAGTTTGACTAGATCACTCTATCTCACTTATGTTGCGGTATAGAGAAAAGAGTATTCATACCAAAGGGTCATAATTTGTAGTCCGTAATTACACGGCAGATCATTAAAACAAGTGATTTTATTTAACGTTTTTATCTTGCAGAAATTAGGGAGATAGAGATAGGTATTGTCATATTGGGAGTGTGAACTTGTTATGAGATGACTTTTTGATTTGTCGAACAGGTTTAATGGGCATCGATCCTACACAAAAATTACTAAAATTGCGAGTTTCCTTAGTTCTCCAATGTTTAAGTCGATCTCTAGCTATACAAGTAGAGACAAATAAGAAATGGTAACATGGAATTATAGAGAATAGGGTGAGAAGTAAATAGAGAATAAATGGGAATCCGCCATGGTAGATCTCAAAGTTATCCCTATGATAAATAAATAGAGAATAGAGTGAGAAGATGATTGGTTTTAGCCTTTAGGATATTGGTGAAAATAACAATGGGCGGGAAGATGATGGTAACAGCCTAACAGGTGGGTTGATGGTGGTCAGATCCATATTAGATCTTCTAGAAATAAAGGAGTTAAGAGTGGGAAAAGAACTGATATGGTAGTCAAGAATCACGATGGAAAGACATAAATGAAAATGAAAATGAAAAAAAAAATCGCAGAGAGAATTTTTTTTAGTGCTATTTTACAATGCTATATAGTATTGGTGCTATAGGTTTTTGCTTTTATGGTACAACTTAAAAATGTACATTTACGTTATGGTACAACTTTAGATTGTACCTATACTTTTTGTACAAATTCTTTTATGGTACAACTTGAACTTGTACCTTTATGTGATGGTACAATTTCAAGTTGTAAAGTTGTACCATAACATAATGGTACAAATTGCTTTATGGTACAACCTAAACTTATACATTTAATGTTATGGTACAACTTTGAGTTGTACATTAAAGCACTAATACTATATAGCATAGTAGAAGTGCTCTTTTATTTTATTTTATTTTATTTTATTAGGGTAATATATGTTTTAATTTTTGTGATTAGAGTACTATTTAAGAGATTTGAATATGGGACCTTAAGGTTTTAGGTTAGTGTGTTACTACCACTAGGCCAATCCTTATTTGTTTGTATAGAGAAATTAAGGTTATCAAAATATGGTTGAGTCGCATATTAGGTTGCTCTCTTTAAAAAGTTTGCGACACTGTGTTTTTGCGCACAATAGATTATCAGTATGTCGCCTACAGGATGAAACAATCTTCATTAGTTGCTCGACGGTTTTGTGCGAAAATTGGAATTTTCCGAACTTTCTCTCTCTCTCTATTCGTGTTTCTGCTTTTCGAATTGGTGTAATTAGAGGGTCTGAGGTCAACTATTTATAAGAGCAGAGACCCCAACATATTTCTCTTTTGTCGGGAATAAGTCACGCTTAATTAGGAGATAAACATTTCCTTAATTAAAAATGCGTATGGTGAGATAATTACCCGAATTATCTCTTGGATATTCATTTTCAATTAATTATCCCCCTTTACGTTTCTTTTAAGGATAATGAATAATTAAGTTTGGAACTTCTGCAAAAAAAATATTAGTCTCAAGTTGAACCACTTACTCACTTGCTTGCTTAAGCGATCGGTCGAACAGACGAGCCACATGCGCGTGTGTAGTGATCTATTATGTCCTCTCTCTCCCAAGGGCGAAAGAAGAAGGACGAGGTCTTTTTTTTTAAACACAAAAGTGAGGCGAAAAAAGGAGAAGAGGCTTTTTTTTTTAACACAAAAGTGAGTCATCCCAACAATTATATGCCCTTTAGAGAGAAAATCCAATGTGTATGCACCTCTAGTAAGTGATCTTTCAAAGCTATTAACCATTTCCAATAGTAAATAGTTTACTTTTATAACGTTTATTGTTGGTGAGTGAGCATTATCCAATGCGAGATAACACCCAACCGCGTGTCATTATCAATTGCACATTTGAGGGCAGCAGAGGATGCAATAGAGTACTTGGTCGCATTTAATTAGAATTTTAGATACCATAAAAAATATATATAATAGCTATAGTTTTTGTTACAATGTCAATCGTACACAACGGTATTTTAATTTAGCAAATTCATCAATAATAGAGTCTTCATTCATACCAATAGAATACTCTCTTTCACATAAAATACTTAAGCAATCAACGAGAAATTCATCGCTCATTTTGTTACGCAAATAAGTTTTTACATGTTTCATTGTGAAAATGTTCTCTTCGCATTGAAACGGCAACGTCAACACTACATGAATCAACCGACTAATAAATTTGTATTGTGCGTTCATCCCATTTTCACTAGCTTCTATAGTAATTTTGGGAGGAAAGAACCTTCATATTTCTTTTATTCTTTTATGGTTTAAACTTTTAGGTTTCATTGTTTCTTTTTTTTTTTCTAAGGAAAATCATTGGGGCAAGAATTTGTAGAATAAATTTAAAGTAGTGATTTGAATATGTTAATGTGAACCAATTTGATAGTTACACACAATCTTATTGAATAAACATTGGGCTAGTCGAATGCCTAAAATAAAAAAAATCATAAGTACTATATTAGTTCATGACTCAGAGAAGGGTTGGACCGTGACCCGAGATGATCAGTCATGAATTCGCCACTATTTGAGGGGCGAGAGAGCAACGTCATATCCGCCAGAATGTATAAATATGTTGGTTGAGGAACACAATTTAATTTTAGGTACTTGAGAGATAAGAAACGAAAAGTTGAAGGACCTTACCATTTATGCAATGAAAGCTAGATTAAGACGGTGTGGTGAGAAATGAGAGTCTTCAATTGTTATAATGTCAATCGTAACCGACCATCTTTTAATAGCAAATTCATCAATTATAGAGTCTTCATTCATACCAATAGAATACTCTCTTTCAAATAAAATAAAATAGCTAAGCAATCAGTGAGAAATTCATCGCGCATTTGTTATACAAATAAGTTTTCACATGTTCCATTATTGACAATGTTCTCCATACTCCGTAGTAGTTGATAGACGATTAATTGCACATGTTTATGCTTCCATTCTTGATCCGTTTGAGAGACGATTCTCGTGTTTTAAGCCGATTTCATGCTAGGTTGTGCGTTAATATCATATTTCAGGACTTGGCGTGGACATGGAGGCGTGGAAACGAGTTTCGGGTAAAAAAGGAGTACATTGGAGTGAAGGGGCCGTGGAAGAAGAAAATACTCGGTCAGGAGTTGAAATACCCGAACGAGTAAAATGCAAGAGGAGGCCGGGGATTTCACGCTTTGGACGCCAGAATTCCAGAAGGGGTCCCGACCGGATAGCTAAAATACTCGTTCGGGTATTTTGAACCTCGATCGGGTATTTTCCCTTTCCCACTACGTTGCGTTTCAAAATACCCGGCCGTGCAGCTGAAATACCCGACCATGTATTATAACCGGTGATCGCGATCTGACCCCTTTTGAGGGAAAGAAGGCCAATTTTACAAGGGTTCGGAGTTTTAGAGAAAGAAAGCAGATACCTAGAGAGAGAGTGACGAACCAGAATCTCCAAGCGCCCTAGATCGATCTTCATCACCATTAGAGCTCGGCTTAAGCTTGGAGAAGTACCGATTGATTGCCAGAAGCAGAATCTCATTCTTCACAGCATGTTTTCTGCATTTGAGCTAGATTTCCCTTCTCTCTCTATGGAGTAAACTCTCTCACTCACCTGGGTATGAAGAACTCTAGATTTGTATGTTAGGTCTGATTGTATGAACCCAAGTACGAATTCATTGATGTTAATTATATTCAATTGAGGTTTGATTTCCTGAATGGCATGAATCCTGATCAAATTTTTGTTATTTCTGCTTTGACCTAGAAAGAGAATATCTGCCTAGGTTGATAGAACAAACTTGATTGAAGGTAGTGAATTGACAACTTTAGTCGAGGAGCCAATTCACTATCATGTATCGGATTTACTCCGGTAAAGGAGGTTTGGTTCGTTAGGGCCTCAATATGTTTACTCCGGTGGAGGTTAGTCGCCCGCTGGGGACTTAGATTGAGAGGGTCTGGAGACCTTTAGTCGAGACTGCAGATTGTCTAAGAACCTCCTGCAGTATAACTATCATTGAACTTGAACTTGGTGAATTACAACTTGGCTTAACTGCAGTCTAGGGGGAACCATATCTGGGTGACCTCTCTCAACTTTGAACACAACTTTCACTGCTTTCGCTTGCTAATTTAGTTAGACCTTCACTACACTTGAACCGCTAAATAATAAGATTTTCACGGAGTAGTCATCACACCTAGGGCCAGGGTTGACATTTAGAACTAAACCCGTTATACTACGCATTAGTAGGTGGTTGCACTTGGCCACTTTCTAGTGTGACGGTAGAGGCGTGTCAGTAGTCGTTGAAACGATAACGTCAACACTACACGAATCAACAGACTAATCAATTTGTATTGTGCGTCCATCCCTATTTTCACTAGCTTCCCTAGTAATTTTGAAACAAACTTCATATTTTTTTATTCTTTTATGTTTTAAACTTTTAGGTTTCATTGTTTCTATTTTTTTTAAGAAAAATCATTGGGGCTTGAATTTGTAGAATTAATGTGGAGTAGTAATTTGAATATGTTAATCTGAACCAATTTCCTAGTTACACACAATCTTATTTATAACACACTAAGCTAGTTGAATACCTAAAATCAAAAAATTCATACGTACTATACTATTTTCAGATTCAGATAATGGTTGGATCGTGACCCGTGATGATCAGCTCTAGATCCACCACTGTCTGAGGGGAATCCCTTGTCACTACTGTGTGCTACTTCGGTGCACACACTTTTTTTGTGTGTATTCAGTGCACCCAACTTTAAAAATGGTCATAGTATATCAAAATTTGAACTTTAATTGGTAGAATTATTGTAATACATTGATATAACATAGAACCATAACTAAACAATCCATTGTCCTAACATCTTTACCTTCCTTTTTGAATCCCAACCTAAAACCCTAAATTGTAAACCTAAACCCTAACACCAAATTCCTAAACCCTAAATCATTGAAATTAAAGTAAATCTTGAATGATTTTCGTACAAATTCATGTATTTTCTTGTCCATCATATCATACGTGACGATTTACATTATTTTTACATGAATCATTTGCTTAGAATAACGATTATGAGACGGGTGCATTATATGGTGGTGTATTCGGTGCACCCACTTTTTTGGTGCATTTAATGCACTCGCCTCATAATCATCATTCCGAGAAGGCGATTCTTGTGAAAACGATACCAGTCATCACTTGTGGTTTGATGAACAAGAAACACATGAATTTGTACAAAAATCATTCAAGATTTACTTTAATTTGAATGATTTAGGGTTTAGGAATCTAGGGTTAGGGTTTACAATTTGGGATTCTATATTATATCATCATATTAGGCTAATGTTACCCAATAAAATTCAAAATTAGATGTATTATTACCACTTTTAGAGTTGAATGAACTGAATGCACCCAAAAAATTGAGTGCACCGAATTAGCCATCATATATATATATATATATAACATGTTTAATATCTATATTTAATGAATTAAATTGCTATTTATCTAATTTATCTATTTACTTACTTTTAAAATAATTAATTTTATATATAGTATTAATGTATCATTAATTTAAAGACGATGTAAAATATAAAAATACGCGTATTGGTAATGCATCTTGCTACGCTACAATAATCATGTGGCAAAAGGACACAGATGACAGAACCCGGCCGGCCGGCCGGCCAGCAGCAAATGGAAACGAACTTTTAATCTCATCTTCGGGTTTTGTCGTTTGATGGATGCATTTCCCTTTCCGATTGTCGTGTTTGAAGCAGTTCCGTTACCACTTTAGAAATGGACGGCATTTTCAACAATAGCTAATAAATTAAATTTGTTTATTTGTTCGGGGAAAACTAATATGAATATGCTTCCTACCAAAAAAAAAAAAAAAATTGAATATGCTATGCGAGGACTTAAATAAAAGGAAGGTTTTTGGCTGCAATTCTGCAAAAGACTCTGGCGAATCTTAAGTGCCTATTAAATCAATTAGAAGATAATCAGCAATTTACAAAGATGCCATCACATTTTCTGGAACCGTTCAATCTGGAAAAAGATTAAAAGTGGAATATATTGTGGCAGTTCAGGTGGAACGTTATTAAATATATCACTAAAGGTAACACATCTATGACTAATTTTTTTTCAATATTACTAGAAGTTTGAATATTAATATTTGTATTTTCAAAGTTTAGCTTATATTTTATCAAAATTAAAAGGTTTGACTAATAAATTGCATTTAAAAAATTCAAGAACCTTTTTTAAGTAGAATTTTATGTAGTAATCACCAAAGATATTAATAACGGTAAAAAATTGGCTAAAAATTTGCAATGTAACGAGATGTTTGACTTTTTGTGTCTTATGAGTTGTAATAACTTTGAGTCTAATAATATGTAACTTTGTGTTCTTGTTAATACAAGTGATCTTTTCGTAAAAATGAAAAATAGTTGAGTTTTTAATATAACCGAAGGAGGACCGCCATAAAAGCATTTACTCGTTTAGTTGATGATTAATACACCGCCATACATCGCTGTCCCTCGCTGTGTAATTGCAAAGATTTCGGAGAAAGGGAAATGATTTCATGAATCATGAGGGGGATTTAAATTAATTTTCATGCCCATCTGCTTCACGCTTCTCAATATACTACAAATGCGCCCTCTTATTATTCAACCCATCAATCCCCCCATCACCTATAATCCTGTCGGTTATTAATTAGCAATCTCCCCCTTCACCCGTCCAACTCAATTCATTAAATCCCTAGCCGGCCTTCCCTGTCAAAGTGCTCACCCCAAAATTCACAAACCCAAATCCATTCATTGAAGCTCCGATGAAGTCTTCTTCCACACCACCTCCTCCGCAGCAGAAACCACATGCCGTGCTGCTGCCGTTCCCAGCGCAAGGCCACGTCAACCCGTTTATGCAGCTCGCCAAGCTCCTGCACGCCAGCGGCTTCCACGTCACCTTCGTCAACACCGAGCACATCCACAGGTGGCTGGTCCGCACCAGAGGCCCCGAATCCGTCAAGGGCCTCCCCGATTTCCAGTTCCGGGCCTTCCCCGATGGGCTGCCGCCGTCCGACAAGGACGCCACTCAGGACCCTCACGACATCTGTCACGCCACGCAGCACTACTGCCTCCAACCGTTTATGGAGCTCATGAATCGGCTCAATTCAACCCCAGAAGATCAAGAAGCAGTAAAAATTCCTCCAGTTACTTGCATAGTTTCGGATGGAGGCATGACGTTTTCCACCAAAGCTGCTCAACTGTTGGGCGTCCAGCACGCGACATTCTGGCCGGCCTCTGCCTGCGCCTTCTTGGCGTATCTGCAGTTTGATGAGCTCATCAGAAGAGGCATCTCTCCTCTCCAAGGTATGCGCGTGATTGTGTCCAGGGAAACAGTTCTAAACTCTAGTACAGTATTTTACAAAAGTACTGTGTAATAGCTAGCTATCGCGTGATTGTCCAGCGAACAGTTAGTTCTAAACCGTCCCTAACGATTGTTCTAATTTTCATTCGATTTGCCCTGCCTGTTTCAGAGGCCAACTTGACGGACGGAACATTGGAAAGGCCTCTAGAATGGATCCCAGGAATGAACAACATCCGCCTCAGGGACATGCCAAGCTACGCAACTACAATGGCCGACGCCGCAGGTGAGCTGATCTTGTTCCACACCATAAAGAACGCGGTCAGGAACTGCCTGAAATCGAGCGGGCTGATCATCAACACGTTCGATGCCTTGGAAGGACCCGTGCTGGCAGCCATCGAGGCAGAGTTTTCTGGTCAATTATACTCAATCGGTCCGCTCCACTTGCTGGGGGAGCAGATTGGTTCCGGATCCGACGAATCGAGGTCGAGGATCGGCTCGAGCCTGTGGAAGGAAGACCTCAAGTGCGTGGAGTGGCTCGACGGGAGGGAGGCCGAGTCGGTTGTCTATGTCAACTACGGAAGCTTCACTACTATTTCGGCTGAACAGTTGATGGAATTCGCTTGGGGGCTTGCGGAGAGCAAGCGCCCGTTTCTGTGGATACTAAGAGACGACGTTGTAATGGGGGATTCGGCCGTCCTGCCGGTGGAGTTCTTGGAGGAGATCAAGGACCGTGGGTGCATAGCCAATTGGTGTCCGCAGCCGCAGGTGCTTTCGCATCCTGCTGTGGCGGTTTTCCTGACGCACTGTGGGTGGAACTCGACGATGGAGAGCGTTTCGGCTGGCGTTCCCATGATCTGCTGGCCGTTCTTCGGGGATCAACCGACGAATCGTCGGTATGCTTGTAGCGAGTGGGGGATTGGTGTGGAGCTCAGTGCTGATGTGAAGAGGGGCGAGATTGTGGATCTCGTTGAGAGAGTGATGAGTACAGAGGAAGGGCAGGGGATGAAACAGAGGGCTCTGGAGTGGAAAAGGAGAGCAAGGGAAGCCATTGATGCTGGAGGGTCGTCCCTCAATAGTTTCACAAGATTCGTTGAAGATCATGCTACTGTGGTTGACAATGGCGCCAACGCATGATAATCATCTTTACAGTCCAGTTGGGTGGGCTGGGGTTCTTGATTTGGTATGGGAAAAGGAAAGCAGAGGAAGTTTGTTGACGTTTCAATAATTTTGACTATGGTCAATGTTTCAATAATTGCACAAGATTCGTTCAAGATCGCATCTAGTGAATACTGATGGTCATTAATAATTTAACTAGAACGGAAGCCCACGTTACGCAACGAGCATAAATTATTGCAACATGAATATTATCAAACGATAAACTACTAACATATTCTTCGTTTTTAAATTAGAAGTACAACACAACTTAAACTTTAACGTGAGGGATGCACATAGAGAAGACAATTGGAACCCAAAAGGCAAGATTGATGGATAGAGATAAATGTAGCATCAGTAGAAGCTAAGAGCCTAAACACCATACGGTACATTTGGCATGGCCTCACGATCAAAAGTGAGTAAAAGGGTAGCTAGTTTAGACTAACAACAAAACAGTGGTTTAAAATTTTGTGTGTGCTATCATCATAGTGTAGGCTCGCAATGTATATTTCTTGCCATAAATTGTCTGCCGCATCGATCTCTAAGGCATTGTTTTTGCTGCTATTGCAACAACGATTCAAACTCTTTAGGTGCCAGACAAACCAGGGCAAGGTTTGCTTCATGGTTCGTAGTGACTTTTAATTTACGACACCCGGATTCACATTAAGCATGCAATTTGTAGAATAATATGGTGGAATGTAAACAAACTACAGTGTACACAACAATACAGAGTACATAGGTGAAGAATGTCAACCACAATTAGCTTCATTAGGGAAACTGAAAATCTAGTTTATAGGGATCAAAAGAACATATTGATGCAAAGTGCTTGAAAAAATCTTCATCTTTTTCCATGACCCGCCAGTGCCCTCTCATCAGCTGGTGATGTCGTCTTACCCTAGCAGCGCTTGCCATTATAGAAAAGGGAGCTCAACGGACCCTCTCCGAAATAGCTTGATCCGAGTTGAGTTTGTGGATTAGAGGAAATGAGAAAGAATAGAGGCAACTCACATAGAAAGTGAAAATGTTGTACAATTTTTGATATTACAGGGTGACTCAAGTATCCATGGGTTCGGATGACTCGTCCATGGATCTGAATCGTAGTAACCAATTGAAAACAACAGAATAGGAAAATTAATACGCATCATTAGAGAAAATGAAAAATCTGGATATTATAGGCGACAAAAAAACATACCGATGCAAAACACAAAAATACCTTCATTGTCACTCTGCAGAGAGAAACTAATAGAAATGTTGAAGCCATTCTAACAGTGGTGTTTCTCATCGAGACATCAAATACATGACCCTAGTATCTAGCAAGTATTATTGATTAAATAGTCAAACGTAATTGCATTTTTGGTCCTTAAATTTGTGGGAAATAACGAAATAATCATCCGTTTGATGTGACTCTACGTAACAATACCATTTTTGCTTGTTTTTTAATAAGAACCGATCCAAAACCCGTAAACACTGGATTCAATTCTCTTTGACCGGTTATTGGGGTGAGTGTTTGGCTAAATTCACACCCGATCCAATCCGTTAATTACAAAAGTGGATAAAATTTGTTCCCTGCCAAAAATTCAGCAATACCAGGTAGAATTACAAAAGGGGGTAAAATTTATCTCCGGCCCAAAAATCGTCAACACAGGTTTAAGTCGCTTTGAACGGGTTGAATTAGATTGAAAAGGCGGGTAAAATGCGTTCTCGATCCAATTCAACGATTACAAAAGTGGATAAAATTCATTCACGCCCCCAAAAGTGCAAAGGGTAAAACTCGTCCTCGACCCAAAAATCATCAACATTAGATTCAACTCGATATAGCGCGACGAGTTTTTAACAAAATCCACACCCGACCGAATTCATTAATTACAAAAGCGGGTAAAATTTCTTCACGTCCTACAATTCGGCAACACCGATACCAGGATGGAAAAAGTGGGTAAAATGCGTTCTCGACCCAATTCAACGATTACAAAAGTGGATAAAATTCATTCACGCCTAGTGTCAAGGGCAAAACTCGTACTCGACCCAAAATTTGTCAACACTGAATTCAACTCGATAAAGCGAGGTGACTTTTTAACAAAATCCACAACCGATCCAATTCGTTTTTTTACAAAAACGGGTAAAATTCATTCCCGGACTAAAATTCGGCAACACCGATACCGAGTTGAATTAGATTGAACACACGTGAATTTGGGTTCAATTGTCATAAGAGGAAATATTTAAAATATTTGATTAATGACCCAATTTGTTAATTACAAAAGCGGGTAGAATTCGTTCCGGTCTAAAATTTGGCAACACCAATACCGGGTTGGAAAATGCGGGTATAATGCGTTCTCGACCCAACTCAATGATTACAAAAGTGGATAAAATTCATTCACAACTCTAAAAGTCCCTAAACTCGTTGATGTCGCAAAATTGCACATCCAACCCAATCGTTAACACCGAGTTCAACTCGCTGAACATATTTAAAGAAAATAAAATTAAAACTCGTTCCAGACCAAAAAAAAAAAACATGTTCAAACCGGGTTGAATTAGTGTGAATCCATTTGAAAAGGAAATAAATGAGTGTAGTGAAAATTACAATAACCCAAAAAGTCCCTAAACTTATGGTTAATAACAAATGGTGACATGTTGAGATGAACAAAATTACAAAAGTGCCACTTCTTGGATGTGATTCTAAAGGATAGTAAAAAAGTTGCTTGTTCTTTTACTATAGTAATTCCCGATCTAAAATTTGGCAACATTGATACCGGATTGGAAAAGGCGGGTACAATGCGTTCTCGACCCAACTCAATGATTACAAAATTGGATAAAATTCATTTATAACTCTAAACCCTAAAAGTCCTTAAACTCGTTGCTGTCGCAAAATTGCACACCCAACCCAATCGTTGACACCGAGTTCAAATCACTGAACAAAATAAAAGGAAATAAAATTAAAACTAGTTCCCGACCCAAAAAAAATACCAGGTTCAAACCGATTTGAATTAGTTTGAATCCATTTGAAAAGACAATAAATTAGTGTAGTGAAAATTACAATAACCCAGAAAGTCTCTAAACTTATGGTTAATTACAAATTATCACATGTTAAGATGAGCAAAATTACAAAAGTGACACTCATTGGATTTGACTCTAAAGAACAGTAAAAAAGTTGCTTGTTATTTTAATATAGTAATTATTATATTATTTTATCCGCAAGTTTTTCTGTTCCTTGCGTAAAATATAGCAGCTCCCCTATTGAACGGGCGATTGGTTTAGTTCTAACCATTTAAAGGGTTAGCATCATACTATTACTAAGTATTAATTACTTTAATAGCCTTTAGATCAAAATATTCATCCTAGGATTAGAATTAATTCGAGAATGATTTAGTCAATATTCATCAAACCCTAATATAAGTTAGGGATGGCAATGGGTCGGGTTGGGTCGGGTTTTGCCAAACTCTAACCCAAACCCATGGGTTTATCCGTGAAAAAAACCAGGGGTAAAATCCACTAGGTTTGAAAAACTCAAACCCAACCCAAAACCCAAACTCAAACCCACGAGTTTAAATCCGAACCTGACCCAAAATTTATCAACAAGGGTTTTACCCGCGTTGTTCGGGTTGACTCGAGTAGGGTATATGTGGGTTCGGATTTTGTTGTCATCCCTAATATAAACACTTTATAACATAACCGCCTCTCCCATGAACCTCCCCTCTCTATCAACTACTACACCCAACACAATCTTCAGCTAGCGCTTCAATGTACCTTTTTTTTTCATAGATACCCCGAAAGGGGAGACATCATACATATGAGATACACAAGGTCTTTGTAAACCAGGTCACAAAAATGATAAAAACGTTGGTCGACAAGTCTATGAACCAATGCTCAATGGATTTTTACATGATATGGGCATGAGGGAGGATCAGGTGACTAAGCTCTTCCAGCCCTTAGATATGGACACACCAATCTGACGGTTAAAAAATGGGAAGGACTTTTAATTAACGACAGGGGTGGTTTGGATATTATGAAAAATTATGGAGTATACAAAGATTACAAACATACAAACAATACAAACTAGAATGACAAAACATACAAACAGATTTACAAACAATAAAAAACGTACTAACTATACAAATAATACAAAGTAGACCGACAAACAATACAAATCATAAAAAATGAAAAAACAAGCAGGTTGACTTTGGAGGCTCCATCTCTATATAGAGAGACACCGTACCAAAGTCAACCCGATTGTTTTTAGATATACAAACATTACAAACATGGTGGACAAATATAACAAACTAGACCGACAAACCATAAAAAATGAAAAAACAACCGGGTTGACTTTGGAGGCTCCATCTCTATATATATGAGTTTCGTTCAAAAGTCAACCAGGTTGTTTTTTAGACATAAAAAACATTGAGCACTTCTACTATCCTATAAAGTATTGGTGCTTTAATGTACAACTTAAAGTTGTACTATAATGTTAAATATATAAGTTCAGGTTGTACCATAAAGGAATTTGTACTATTATGTTATGGTACAACTTTACAACTTGAAGTTGTACCATCACATAAAGGTACAAGTTCAAGTTGTACCATAAAAGAATTTGTACAAAAAGTATAGGTACAATATGAAGTTGCACAGTAACGCTAAATGTACAATTTCAAGCTGTACCATAAAGGCAAAACCTTATAGCACCAATGCTATATAGCATTGTAAAATTCATCCAAAACATTACAAACATGGTTGACAAAAATGACAAACATAGTCCATAAAAATAACAAAGCTTACATTACAAAAGAAACCAAAAACATTACAAAATAACACTACTTACAATACAAATCGGTAAAATTGTATTATAAAACAATGAATACAAAGTATACAAATCATAACATAAAGTATACAAACTAGAGCAACAAATATTTTAAATCAAAATATATACAAATTAGTCATGTAAACATTACAAACACAATAGACAAAAATAACAAACTAGAATGATAAACGATACAAACTGAATTGATATAAACATTACAAACTGGACTTATAAACATTACAAAATAGGTCGGCAAATATTACGAATCCAGCACTGTCACCGGAAATCCGTCTCTGCCGTCTCTTTTCGCATGAAATCCACCGGGAAATCGCCGAAAATCCGCTGTCAACAATCACTGAAACTCTCTCGCTCTCTCTCTATAAAATCCAGCCCCTGGGCAAAAAATCCCGCCGGGATAAT